TGAATGTACATCACTCAGGTGCCATCATAAAAGACATCTTGCCCAGAAAACATGGTTAAGTAGAAAAATGCAATTTAAAAGCAATACAGTAACATCCTTCAAACAGACTATCCCACCACTCAGCATTTTCTTCAGCAGAACTAGTGTAAAGGTGGGTCTGATAATGTATGGTCCTATCCACACCATGAATTCGAACCTACACATAACAAATGTTACTGTGATCATTCAACGGGAGCCTTGATGATAAGGCGTATTATAAATCATATCATGAAGCCTTCTTCAGGGTTTGCTGTTCTTTTAAAGATATCACACCCCAGAGAGACCACTCTTTAAATGGAATTATTGATGACAGCTAAACAACAGTAAATATTATTTGCTACCACTACTTCAATTTTTCTCCCACTATTTCTTGCAAGCTTTAAAAGACTGTACATTTTTGCTCTACTCACACATCACTCTTTCATAGATTTCTACCAAAAAAAGTCCTTCTGAATACAAATTCCACCTATCTCTTCAGATAATACCACAGTAAGGTCTGTAACATTTCTCACTTAATTGAAAAGGGATTTTTAACCAGACTTACTTTCCTCTGTTATGTCAGATGCTGATGCCTTGTGCCCTTGCTTTCCACCTGACTGGGCTTTTTCTCTCCCCTTACAGATCTGTGTGCAATTTACTGGCCTCAAAATCCTTCACCAATATATATGAATACATGAAATCCGCCAGTAGGCTGAATACATTTCACACTGTTAAATGTGAACTAGAGAGTAAGAGAACCTCCCTCAAGAAGCACACAGGGTTTGTAATCATACACTGGTGTTTATTCGCAAGCTGTACGGGATTACATTAAGAATGTTTTCCCGTCTCAAGTCTCAGCTTCCTTGCTTTAGGACACATTCAGATCTCCTCCTATCCAAGTCATAAATTCCACACTGCATCTAAGTTTGTACACACCTGCAAAAGGCTGCGCGATCTGGGGATCCAACACTCCAAGTGATGTATGAGTAACCAGGATTGCTCCCTCTCACCTTCTCCTGCTTTCCCAATACACACCACTTGATTTTTACAGAACAAGAGGGTAAACTCAAAAGTATTTTTCCTTAATAGATTCCAAATGTTTTCCATAACAACATGTGGCAAGAAAACGCTACGGAACTAACTGACCATTAAGTGTTTCCTGGAATTTGTTTTTGTTTTTTTTTTCCAAAAGCAGTCATCCTCTTTATTCTTTCTGTCATGAGGGCTCACTGTCTCTTGAATATTGGAGAAGGGGAAGAAGGTGAAATCTAAAATCTAAACTTCATTCCTTCATGACTTCTCTGCTGTCTTGAATACATTATCTCTGCTGAAGCTTAAAAGTGTACCATCTCTCCACAATTCTTTTTTTTTTTTTTATATCACCTCATTACCAAGACAAAAAGATGAGAGACAGCATCTCCTGCTTGCCTCAGCCTGCGGCATGTCTCCTTCCTGAAATGTCTACTCCAACTAGACTCCCTAGCTTTTAGAAGGTGAATGGACGCAACGGTACAGCAAATGTATTTCATACTTGCTTCAGCTGCGCCTTTGATCTTGAGCCTGACGGGAGTTTGGTGCTCAACAGTCACAGCCAGCCTGCCTGTTCTAGCCAGGTATGAAGAAATCCACGGTGCCATCAAGGCTGTGATATACCCAGAAGTTTCTAGTAGGAAATCCTCACAAGATAACCACCAGCTGTCTTGTACCTCTCTGGGTTTGTGCTCACAGACGGAAGAGATCTTAGGAGCGTCTGCTTACCTCTTCCCTCAGTGCTGATGGAAAGTTCACTGGGCATTTAAACAACTCATTTGATGAAAGAATACCTGCACTGCAATTAATCATATTCTATATCTCTTGCTGTGTTTATAGCCCTCTCACCCGCAAGTTTCAGGATGCCTCTTTCAAACACTTGTTTTGTTTCTGATTCCTTCTCATGATCCCTAGGAGGCTCCCCTACATGTAAGCATGATAAATTCCACCTGGTTTCAGTGATTCTTCTTTTTTTTCCCCTATTCTTCCTTTTCCCTACCTTTTTCCCTGTTCTACCATTTTAGCAATGTTCCTGATTTTCCTTTACTGCCTTTTGTTGTCTAGAGACTCTCTCATATGTTTGCGTGAGCAAAAAACGAAGCGCTAGTCAGCCAATCCACCTCCACAGCTTGATGGAGGAGGAAAATGCTCCCAAGACTCTCAATTATCTCCAGAAGGGTCTGGTAAGCCCTCACTGTTGATTAAACTAAGAAATTATTAGCTTCCTGCAGAGGATCTTAGATCACTGTAAACTGCCGTGGTGTGTCTGCTCTCTCGCTATTAGACTAGCCCCTGCCACTTAGGCTATCATGCAAGCACGACAATATTCCATTTCTACAATGCGTAACAAACTTCAGTCAATGAAGAGTGTTTTAAAAAAGCCACGATTTAAGCAGTTAAGCTGACAGAAACACTAATGTGTACAACGTCATACCAATAGCAAAATCATTTCACCAACACTGTTTATTTCTTAAGCTTCACCAGAAGAGACCTTTAGCCCTTAAATCTTCACATCCTTTAACTATATAGTCAGCCCTTTCCATAAGTAGATGAGTCTTTGTCCTCTGTGCCTTACCTGAAGGAGAACTTCTCAAGTTGACATATGCACAATTCTACAAATAATTTTCTTCTTTTTCTAGAAGGTTTACTTGTTAGTAATTTCCTTGCCAGTTGTGAAAAGGAAACGTCCCTTTTCAACCAACTACAGCTAAGCTTTAAAATAACTAATTTAGACAAGTTTGCTTACACATTTTAAAATTCTAGTGTAGAATGAGAGCTGTATCAGCAAGGCAAGTTGAACACCATGGCAGGTGTGTAAGCAAAAAGAAAGTATTATCTAACATATTTTAGAAACACCCTTTATTCTAGTCTTGACACAGCTTAGAAGGTGTGACAGCATGCTGGGTTTCTGAGAAGTCAATCACAATCCTTATTCCCCACTGTTTTTATGTTAGGTTTTATTCCAGTTCTATGATTCTGTATTTGATTTCTAAGTGTGTCCTACAAAAAGAGTGCAGAATTTTGTATTAAAAAAATCTGTGAATTTAAGGGACAAGAACAGAGATAATTTCAGCAGTGCTGAGGCACATTGTTCTCTGTCTGAAAATTTGTTATTGTTCATGCATGAATAGCCACTATTTTACTTTATTTGAGAAACATGATGATGGGTGTCATGTACTAAAGATTAGAATCTGACCTTATGTGACCTCTCCCACCATCAGTTATGTGCTAAGCATTCCGTTTTTCTTTCAAAATATGAGAACAACGATAATTTTCTCTGTCTTTAAAATGAAAATCAAACCAGGGATAACAGGAAATTCTTTTTTATTCTGTAGAGATTACTGACATCTAAGAAACCTTCATTCTCTGAGGAGAATGATTATCTCACAGACACAACGGCAAAAAAGAATATTAAAAGTTTTCCCCAGAGTCACACATATTATTTGTCAATCTTTATCCCTCTTCATATTTAACTTAATTGCCACAAATGGTGCTTATAAACCCTCATTCGTTACCAAGAACATAGTCCAAGGAGGAACAGATGGCAACACAACAGACTTTATTGTCTTTTTAATTTTCAGAATTCTATCCTACATGTCTGAGCTTTTAGACTGAGAGTCCCGCAGGCTACAGACTCTTGATTATTATAGATTTCACATACTGTGAGCCTTCCTTCTTGGTTTACTCAGCTATTTTGCTTCAGCTTTGCCCTAATCCATGTATCTATTCAAACTTTTGTACTCCTGATCAAACTTCCCAGATAGAAACTACCTTATAGATTATAGTGATTCCTCTTCACAAGGATCTAGACTCAAAATCACTACTTACTCCACACAGGACAGCAAGGGCCTTGCCCAAGTCTAGCAAAAATACTGCATTCAGTTAGAAATCAACACGTCATAGTGCTGCTGCTTCTCTTTCAAAACAAAATGATGTGTCGCAATTTTAAGATTGTCACTGTTCCTTCAAAATCCTGATCAGTATGTTAATAACACTGGACTAACAGTGATAATTCCCCTTTTTTTTATTTTCCTTTAGAAGGAGTGGGAAGAAAAAATGTATTTTGGCACGTGCCCAGCAATCTTCAGATTAGAAAGGTTATCAATAATAAAATGTACCACAGGTATATTCTACCATATGTCTAACTGATTCTACCATCTATATTAGCATTAATCACTCTTCTTTTTATGCTAACGTCTAAGCAACGATCAGGAGCAAGGCTGCATCATGCCATATACTGTGCAAACACAATGTGGCAGACAACATCCTGCCCTACAGAGTCCGGCAGACAAACTCTAGCAGAGAAGAAAGAAAATACTAGCTAGGAAAATCTTACTCTGTCAGTGTTAATGAAATTCTACATGTGCAACTGCTTTTCCTTAGAGACTTGCATATTTGACTGCCACCACCTCACAAACTCCTATTTTCTTTTGGCAGTAAATTTTTATGGTAAATGCACCGAAAACTCCCTCTTGTGTGTAAATTG